CCGAGGCTTATTTCCTTGTTTTTCGGTGTATTTAGTGGGCTCGTTTGTGGGATGTTGCGGATGAGTTTCACCGAGACCGCCTGCTCTGAACAACCAATCACCGTACTGACCGCTTCTAAACTCATGCACGAGAATCGACGTAATCCATAGCAACGGCGCGTCACTCTTAGTGATTTATCCTTAGTATGAGTAGGTCTCAGCGGCTTTGTGAATAACTTTTAAGAAAAAACTCCTACGTAAAATGTTTTAGCGTGAGTTAGGAGCACTCCTAGCGATAAGATANCGAGTTAGGAGCACTCCTAGCGGTTAAGATAAAATGCTTTGTCCCTGGGGCCGTATTCACAAAGGATCTTAGGGCTAAAAGTAGCTCCTAACTGGCGAATCTAGGAGAAACTCCTAAACATAATGGGCGTGTCACTGTCAGTCTTCAATTTAGGACTCCTAATTGTATTCACTAAGAGCAATTCACAAAGTATTTTAGGCCTAAAAGTAGCACCTAAGTTTAGGAGAGCTTAAAAGTCCTCGAGAGGACTCCTAACTCAGTAAGACCTATTCACAAAGAATCTGAAAATGGCTGAGAGACGAAATGTTTTGGAGACAATGGAAGACTGTGAATTGATCAAGAGATATAGGCTAAATCGTGAGGGTATCAAACTTGTTGTGGAATTAGTGCGGGATGCAATAACATCCCCGACTAACAGGAATAACCCGATTAGTCCGGAAATAAAATGTTTGGCAACACTACGATATTTAGCAACAGGGAAAATGCAACTTTGCAATGCCGACGATTTAGGAATATCGCAACCATCAGTCAGCCGTGCCATAAACCAAACCATCAACGCGCTCTCTAGACCACATATCATCCAACAGTTTATCCGGTTTCCTTTGGACAATCAACAACTACACAGGATCAAAGCCAACTTCATGGCAATTGCAGGTATGCCCGGTGTGGTCGGTGCTATTGACGGGACGCACATAAAAATAATTGCGCCATCAAAAGATGAGGACGTGTTCGTCAATAGAAAGAAAGTACATTCCATCAACACGCAGATTGTTTTCATTCATCATGATAGGGGGACTTGAACGGCGGTATGGGCTGTTATTGAAAGTGTTTAAGTGCTGGAAATGTGCTCATTGGATAATAGTTTGCAGGGTGCTTTTAATTGCCTCCTTGATTTAATGCAATTTACGTATTTTTATTGTTTGCTCTCTCTCTTTAACGTGCATATACAACGTCATTATCGTGGTCTGCACAAACTTGTCATCATGCGTGTATTCAGCTAACTGCACTGTCCATAACTATTTGATAGGAATACATTTCTAGTACATTTTTTCGGTGATTTTCGGTGATTTAGTGGGCTCGTTTGTGGGATGTTGCGGATGAGTTTCACCGAGACCGCCTGCTCTGAACAACCAATCACCGTATTGACCGCTTCTAAACTCATGCACGAGAATCGACGTAATCCATAGCAACGGCGCGTCACTCTTAGTGATTTATCCTTAGTATGAGTAGGTCTCAGCGGCTTTGTGAATAACTTTTAAGAAAAAACTCCTACGTAAAATGTTTTAGCGCGAGTTAGGAGCACTCCTAGCGGTAAGATAAAAATGCTTTGTGAATACGGCCCCAGTTCTATTAATCTATAGCAATAGTAAATAAACATATTATTGCCATGTCATGGAACGCCTTTCCAAGTTTTTTTTCCACCATTTATTTATTCACAAAAGCTCTAATACAAAAACACTTTATAAGAAAGTTAAATCATCAACAGACATGACATATTGGTTAAAACCCCCTAACCCCAACTGCCCTGAGCAGTCGAGTGTTACTAAACCTCTGTGTTGGGAAAGGCAGAGCACAAATTAAATACATCTCATATGTCATGTGACATTTAGTTAGCCGGCTCTACTGTTTCAGAAGAGAAAGTCAAAGGGCAAATAATGGACTTTGAGATATAAATAGGAGGTCAAGACTGCACTCAACTGGAAAGGCCAAAATAAAGTTTAGACCTGAGCGCAATGCAAAGGAATCCATTTCATTGCCAGCTCCAAATCCTCAGAGATCCATACTGTATTAACAGTTTGGAGAGTAGTAATAACAAAAAGCTACAAAGTAATATGCAGGCTGAAACAGACTGTTAAGTAAAGGAAAAAAAGCATGATTGATCATTTAAAAAAAAAAAAAAAAATGATGTATGCATTGATCTAAATAAAAGGTCAAAAGATGTCTTTGACCATTTAACTGCTTTTTCAACAGCCGTTAAATAGTTAGAGTTTAATGTGCAATTAAATCTTAGGGCAAAGTTTAGTCTCTCTCGTCAGACATAAGATACCATTGAAACAAATATATTATGTTATAACTTATTATGTGTCGCTGCCCCCACCCTCTGGAACTCCCTCCCTGCTGAAATCCGTAACGCCCCTTCTCTGAACATCTTCAAATCAACCCTGAAAACTCATCTGTTCAACAAAGCTTCCAACATTAACTCACTCTTCCCCCCCCCTGCAATGTAACACTTCCATTTCTGCCACCTGTTTTATGTCTTGTCCTTGTATGTTTCTTTGTTAAGCGACCTTGGGTTGATGAAAGGCGCTATATCAATTAAAGTTATTAATATTATTATTATTATGTCATCAAATGTCTAAAAATTGGATTCTCGGCCATCATTGTAGAATAGCATATCAAGTAGATGTTCAATCCACCATTGTTTGTTTTTATCCAAAAAATATTGCATTGCTTTGAGGAGAGCTGAGAGAGATCTACGTTTCCTGTCTGATCACAGGGATCTAAGTATCAAGGAAACATAATCCAGGGTTGCATTAAAAGAGTCAAACAAACAGATATCAGTAAAGGAAAATCCATGATAGGAATATTTTAATGACAGTAATTATATCTACATGAGGAAAATAATAAATGTACAAAGTCAATCTTTTAAAGCACAAGAAAATAAAATCGTAGAAAGTTTGTTTTTGTCTCTACGATTACATGACTTTAACATTCAAAAACTGTTAAAATCATCTCCATTTTAATTGTGGTTGAATTCACTGTGACAATCACCGTTATTTAAAGGATACATTATGAATAAAAGAGTTGTGTTATAATGCAAATTACATTTCTTTCTTCATTAACACAAACATGTTCACATTCAAAGGCACAACAATAGCTGCAAAACTATTACCATACTTTATGAAATACAGAGACTACCTCTTGCTGCCATTAGGACCATGAATTTATCAAGTCACTGAGCTTCTAAAACAACTATTTTGCCACAAGCCAGAAGTTCTTAGCTTGTGGTGTCTAACAATTAAGGCTTTACAAAACACAAAGCTATTAGAGTAGAGTAGATGATTGTTGATGATACAGCTTTACGTGCCGGGGAGCATGCTCTCTACACAGTTGTAGGTCCATTCCTGTCTCTCATTAATGGGCAGGATATGTTGGCACACCTAAAAGACAGGACATATCTTTGTATTAGTATCCAAAACACCATATGTGCATTCCTTTACATTGGATTATATAACAAATAATAAATTATTTGTATATCTAGAAAAAACAAGACAACTATGCCTCTAACTTTCTCCAGTGTTCCTTTTATGGAACAATTGTAAAGTAATGAATTATTTGTTATATTAACCACAACAGAGATGTCAGGAAGAGTTTGTACCAGCTTAGTCCTGGCTGGCACCTCGACAGCAAACACACTCATGCCTCGGCTGCTGCAGCAGTTCCTGCTCTGCTCATTGTTTACATGGACAGTCACTTTTTGGTTGGCCTGCAACACAAGGAGAAACAAAGAGGACAGGTCACGTCACTGATCAGCTTGAAATCACAGAATATGCCGAATTGGGCAGATAGACACAATTCAAATAGAGTTGAAAAACATCATTAAGAATCAATAGTAAAAATGTGGTTTTGCATAAAAGGGGATCTATGTGCATGATCATGAGTGACACACATTTTAATGAAAAAATAATTGTATTCCAATCATGAAAACCCATGTATGGAACTGTTCATTAAACACACACAACTGCAGATACACAGTACTACTACAGACAGTACTACTCCCCACTCATAAACCCTAAAAAGCTACTAGTCTCACAGTTGATGATTTGTAAGGGAATGGGTAAACATAAAACAAAACAATGGACAAATCAACACATTCATGAAGGGGAAAAACTGCATATAAATGTAACCACTTCCCCAGTTTAGTGGTTCCTCTGTATCACCAGGTCATTCTTTCTGAGTAGCTCCTGTTGCTATGAGGATCAATACGATGGCTGCATATCAATTACAAACAGCCGGAATGGTCTTCGCAGCCATTCACTGTAGACAAAATGTATACAAACCCCTTCTTTTGATGGAAAGCACATCCATACAATACATATTCACACGTGGTCTACCTTGTTGGCTATAAGGGAGGAGATCCTGTGTTCTCCTCTGTAAGTGTAGATGAAGACATTGTCTTGTCCCCTCAGTGCTTTGGCCCCTGTCTTTGCTGTGATGGACTTCTGGAGGGCCTGGATTAGAAGCCTGGGCCCTGAGTCCAAACTGAGGGGCTGGATCGCCGGCTGAGTGCCTTCACAGTGAACATCCAACTGGAATGGGCATGCCTGATAGAGAGGGAGGTAGAAGAGTGGATTCAATATGTGAGTAGATATAAGTGAGATATTAAAAGCCTGGCCGTGTTTCTCCATATAGTAAAGCTGCCACTTAAAACGATGTCTTTAGTGAAAACTAGCTTTCAGTTTCAGTCAGTTAAACTAAACGATTCATTTTCCTACAGAAAAATTAAGTTTATTCATTTAATTCAAGTTCATTTTCTTCAATTGTATAATGCAGCACAAAACAAGATGGAAACAAAGGATTACAATAAAAATGTATAAATGTAATGATTAAACTAGCAACTCCAACCTTATAAAAAGAGGGCTTGATTTTAATGTCAGTAGTGCAAATGTCTTTTAAAGCCTTGGAATAAAATAACAATAATAATAATAATAATACATTACATTTATATAGCGCTTTTCCTGGTGCTCAAAGCGCTTAAAAAGGTATATTATCTTAATTGCAACATTTTTATAGTGTAAAGGACAATAATAATCCAAAAATACAACTTAAATATCAAGCGTCTGCACTCTGAAGCTTTGGTCATGGAAATCAATTCAGCAGCTAGCCTAGTTGTGTAGAATGGCTCATTGAATGTTGACATTTATTTTCTCAAAACTTTCAAATGTAAGCCCTGAATTAGAGCATATTAGAAAATTATCAAGTCATTTCATATTAAAACCGATTGAAACCTGCGATTGTTTTCAGCGAGAGCAGCTATTTAAACTTACCTCTACTAGCTCCAGCATTCGGTTGTAGCCCATGGCCTCCAGGGTGACCCACAGGTCTGCGGGGTCTCCATCTTTCTCTGTGGCCTCCATCAGGTTCAGCTCCATAAAACCCTGCCGCGTCAGCTGGTTCTTCCTCATATCAAAGTTCTCTGCCAGCCCCAACAGAAATAATGAGAGCCCAAGTGCAAAATAATCGTTTTAACGTTAATTTCACGTTACCCTGGCCATACTGTGTATCAGTGCTATGCTGAGAATAATTACCTTTACAGACAGCCCAGGAATCCTTGTCACATTTCTCTCCACTGGTCCTCAACTCAAAGAAATTGTACTCCTCCAAACTAAGCAAACCATTTCCATCCAGGTCTATCACCTCAAAGATGTCCGACAGCACCTCCCTGTGGCACAAAGGGAGAAACACAGAAAAATGTCTTGCATCACCCAGGCAGACGACATTATTCACCTGTCCATTTTCTCAAATAATGTATCCCTCCATTTATTCATCCATTTATTTATCCTTTGCACCACTCTGAACCTTTTCTACAGGCCTGGATACACATGGGTGCTTTAAGTCACAGACTAAACTTCGTCTTTCTATGCTGAAGATCATTTTCAGGTATCTACATTTTTGGTGATTTTGGAATCAAACTTTGCAGTGTTTCTATATAGATATTTTAGATTGCGCAAACACTCACCTGAGCTCCCTGGTGAGGTCTAGTTCTCCAGTGTCAGTCCTGTAGACGAGCTCTATAGGTTTAATAGAAAGGCTTTTCTTACTTCTTTTCTTTAGTCTGCAGCCACTAGTGAAGGGAAGCAGGTAGTATGTCCCAGCATCCAATTCTCCTTTCCAAACATACTTCTGTGGGAACAAAGGAGTAGCAAAGTTAGACACACTAAGGATATTGTGTACAGTAGAACAATCAACCTTCAACACACAAACTCAGAATTAAGCGTCATTATGAATATAAGTAAATGTTTAGTCCAGGGTTGCCGCCAGGGATTTTGGGCCCCATGAAAATATATCACATTGGTTACTTAAAGGTGCCATGTCATGGCCATTTCCACTGATCATAATTCCATTGTTGAGGTCTATTAAAATAGATTTATATTGTGCAATTTTCCAAACTCATATTGGTTTCTCATACAGCATCTCTGTATAGTATGTGTATTCACTCTGTCCTAAAAGGCTTGTTGGAGCTCCTACCCCCCCCCCCTCCCTGTGAGCCCAGTGCGTTCTGATTGGTCGCAAAGCTGAGAGGCTCGTTGCTGCTCGCAGCTCCTCGCAGCTGAGTGAGCTGCTGCAAGGAGCAGACAGGCTTTCCGTGTCGGCGTCTCGGCGATACAGGAAAACAAGCTAAACTCATCCTGAGCACAAACAAACACTCACTGCCGAAGTAAAAACAATAAGTGTGGCTTGATATTGAGTAAGAAGAAGGTTTATAACGCTGTGAGAATGGGTCAGCGGAGAGCATTTCGCCGCCATCGGAATTGGGAAAGTAGAAAACAAAAAAAGTCTGAACGGAGAAGTACCTACTGGCCACCCGTGGTCGAGAAAGCAGTGCAGTCGACCACTTGGTTTCTCCTGAGTTGAAATCACACAAAGTGGCTCTGCTTTCTCTTTCTCCATACAAACACACGACAGTACGTATTTGGTCCCGCGGCATTCCCCCACTTTTCAATCCTGCTAAGATTCCCGGGCAATGACTGGTCCCCGGGTTTGTTAAAATCTTGTATTCTTTTTTACGAATGTCCAGGGTTACAGTACCAAAAGCCAATAAGGGCAGGGAACACACAATACCTCCAAACATACGGTACATTTGCCACGTACCTCAGTTTTTGGGGAGTTCATGTGGCGACATCCCTCATTTTGAATTGTGTCTTTTCTGGAGGGGGTTTGCCGAGCCAACCGCTAAAGAGTAAAAGGTAACAAAAAGTAAGTACCCCATGAGACTGCACCCGTATGGGTCTCCGGTGTGGGAGACGGTCGGAAAGTGTTTTGTTTTCGAAGTGTTTGGAAAGTCGCTAAGTACGCCTATGACAATGTCGCATCCGCGGTGACTTTCTTGCTACGACAAGGATGAAAACAAACCTGGTCGCCCTCTAAGCCATGTGGTTGGACATTCATAAGTAACAACAAACACATAAATACTACACAAATTTTGTTTTGTTCCATAGATGGTGCTGACAAAACTTCCCCATTTGCAAAAAGCCTGAATGATGCAACCC